AAAAAAAAAAAAAAAAAGAAGAGCAGGTGAAGGCATTGCTTCCTGTGCATACATTCTCCAGCAGACACCCTCTTAGAAATTGAATGTTTACACAAAAGCGGTTGCATGAAAGGAGTTGTGCCAAAGCTGGTAGCTTGCCATGAACCCTTCCCTAAGGAGAGCCTCTGTCTAAGCTTCTGGTTCCAGCCACACTGGCCTCTTTTCTATTCCTGCCAAAGTGTCCCATGTTTTTCCCATTCAGGTTTGTTGCATTTATTAGTTTCTTTATTCTGAAAGCTCTTCTCAGAACTATTGCTTCTCATCTTTTAGGCCTCAGATGAAATGTCACTGCATCAGAAATGCCTTTCATGAGTACACTTTTTGAAATAGCATCCCTTCTGGTTATTCTGTATTATTTTATGCTCTTGTTTCCTTCATAGCTCTTATTAAAACTTGAAATTACTTTATTTACTTGTTTGCTGCTTGTGTATTAATCCAGATTAGATAACTACCATGAGTGATAATCCTAAAATCTCAATAGTTTATTGGAGCTTAATTTCTGCTCTCTCTCTCACCCCCACCAATCATAATGGTAATGGGGTTCTGCTACACGTCGGGGCCCAGGCTTCTTCTTATAATGCAATCATCTTTACACCTGGCATCCTAGATCTCCATAGAACAGGAAGAAAAAGAACATGGAGCACAGACACTGGCTCCTTTTCCACCTCTGGCCACAGTCCACTGGCAAAAGCTAATCATAAAATCTCACTTAAATACAGGACGCTGGAAGACATGGTTTAACCATATATTTAATGAGAAGAAATGAATAGGGACAGGCATATGATAGTAACTAGTAACTCATTCCACTCTTCTCTCTCCTACCCATCTCTACAGTGCAGAGATCAGGATCAAGCTTTCCTATTGCTAAAAGACCTGTAACAATGTTAAAGCTATTAAGGAAATAGATTTGTTTCTAGAAAATAAAGTTAAAAAAAAATAGATTCCCTCAGAGAGTCACCAGAAAGGAACACAGACCTGCAGAATCCTTGGTTTTAGCCCAGTGAGTCCCATTTCAGATGTCTGACATCTAGAACTAAAAGAAAGGAGGTTTATATTATTGTAATGCACTGAATTTGAGGGGATTTATTATAGCAGCAATAGGAAATGTATGCACTTTTCCTGACTCCCCACCTCTCTGCCATGTTAATTGGATGTACATCTTATTTTCTTTGTTCTCCCTTTGCAGGCATAAATCTCAGTTGGTTCTCTGCACCTTCTGGGAATGAACCTGACCTTCACCTTCACCTTCACCTTCACCCAGTTTCACCCTAAACACATAGAAGTCTGTTCCTCCCCCCACCCACACACCAAATTGTGTGCACCCAGTGAGTTGACAAACAAAACAGGCAAGAGGGGGGACAAAAATGTAGAGGTCCCCTCAGGAAAAATGGCCAAGAGGGCTACTCTTGTCTAAATGAATTCTTTCCCTCCACGTAGATTCTGCAAGAGAACTTAGCATTCTAATAGTAAGAAACTTAAGAATACTTACATTCTTTATTTCAGTTTCTTAAAAATGAGCAGTTATACTTTCTTAGGTGGATTTTGTAAGAATTAAAGGAAATAAATGAAATAATTAATAATACTCTGCATATAATAAACATTCCAATGACCATTGTTATTATTACCATTATTATTCCAGATGTCTCTATCATGTTACATTCAAGGGATCCACCCTATTTAGACCAGAAAAATTGCTATAAAGAGTTCAATATTTTAATTTGTCTCATTAGTTTATACTCAGTACTGTTAAATATTTTTTTGAGCAGTCCTAGTTCAAAAATCTTAATTGAAACCAAAATATTGTTGTGGTTAGTTATATCCATGAGACATTAAGAAAACCAACCAATCTAACATGTTAAAAAAAATCAAGTTAAGCCTCCATCGAGTTGTCTGAATTATTTTTTAGCCTAATATCTGGCTAAATATTTGATTCTCCAACTTTCTGGCTTGCCTTCATATTAGATACTTGCCAGAGCAAACTATTGGACTTAATTTTTTTCAGAAACCACATTTAAAAGGCAAATTTTAACCTCCAAAAATAGATGGAATAATGACTTTTTCCATGAAAAAGAATTTAGGGAACTGTAAGTGATCTGAGATTTGAGACACAGCAGAAAAGGAATTAAACAGGTGGCTCCCATGGGGTAATTTTAGCCAGTGTGCTCTGCAGCCTGCCTCTTAGTGTAAGGGAAGTCGGTTAGGTACATTCACAGAACAACCAGGGACAGCCGAGTCAGAACTGATACTATTTTCAACAGTTGGAAAATTGAAAAGTTATATGATCCTATGAGGACTGGGTTTTCAGTTCTTGGAACTTACCCTAGGAACAGATCACCGTGTTCAGTTTTTACCTCTGATAAGAAGTGAACATGAGCTTAGCAGGAGGACTCTGATCATATCGGGGTGATATTGGAAGGATCGAGGAAGCATGCTGAGGCCCAGGGCTGGCAAGGAGGAAAAGTCTGAGCAGTTCTGATGGGGCCATTGAAGTGGCACCCCCTTTCTCCACTGAAAAGTCTTAACTGGGCTTCTCCAGAAATCTTCACCGTGGCTGATTTTAGGACTGTCAGCAAGAGTCTCTACAAAAGAGTTCAGTGTAGATAAACTTCCTATTTTCGTGTTGCCTATCTTAACTTGGCCACTGGCTGGGAAGAAATCGGCACTCCAGGTGCTGGACACCCCCTTACTAGTTTTTCACAGACATGTATCCAGTATAGTAGTTTGTAGAAATGTATAAACAAGGCCTCTGGCCTTAAGCTGGGGCTTCACAGAGACCTCTACATTTCTAAGATAAGAGAAGTTACCAATTGGGCTCCATGGTAACAGCTGGCAGAGGGAGGAAAAAAAGGGGAGAAGAAGCTCTCCCCTTCTCAGGTGCTGCCCTTAATAGTTCACATAAAAAGCAGCTTTTTCTTTCACTTCTGCAGACTGTGAACTTCTGAGCCCCTCCCCTTACATGCTGGGTATAAAATTCTGAAACTACCTGAACTCGGGGTTCAGGAGATTGATTGATGACAGCAAAAGCTCTGCCCTCTGAACTTGGCTGCAGCCAAATAAAAATGTTTCCTGCTATCTTTGGTGCCTTGCCTTGTCTGTCCCTACAATAATCCTAGCTACTAGGGCACTGAGGCAGGAGGATCATGAGTTCAAGGCCAGACTGGGCAACTTAGAAAGAACCTGTCACTAGATAAGTATTTTTTAGAAGGGATGGGGATGTAGTTCAGAGGCAGAATGCTCCTGGGTAATCCCCATTACCATTAAAAAAACAAAAACAAAAATGTTGAGTGGCAGCTGGTCCTCTGCTAACTCATATTGAGGCTTTAAGCTGGAAAATTCCTCTTCCAATGAGTAAATGAAAGAAGAGCTTCTATTTTCATGTCAGACATAGTTACCCATGACCTTGATGGTGACTCACATTGATCATCGTTTGGTTTGCTTTTGGGTGAATCTAATTGCTGGCTAAGCCACCATAAAATATTAAACAATAAATGACCAGCAAATAATCTGCATCTTACTGCAAGAGCCATTTGAGAATAGACAGCAAGAGATTGACAGGGTGGCCTTATTACATTTGCTCAGGAAGATACCTTTTCCTTAAAGCCTATCAAGAAGATTAGTTAGTCTCATAAACTATCCCTACTGGGGTCAGTCTGACAGGCAGCATTGACAGTCTTTTCCATATAGAAGATGAGATCATCCCTAACATTAATACACAAATTCAAGGATCTTGATCATACAACAGTGTGATGCACTAAATGCCACCAAATTTATGCATTCCCCTTCCTCGGGTGCTACAGTTTGAATCCAGGGGAGATTTACTACCAAGACACATCCCTAAACCTTTTTATGTTTAATTTTAAGACTTTATTAAGAAGCTGAGACTGCCCTTGAACTTGCAATCCTCCTGCCTTTGCCTCCTTAATTGCTGAGATTATACAGGTGCACCACTACACCTAGCCAAATTTGTGCACTTTAAAATAATTAGACTTTATCTTATGCAAATTTCACTTCAATTTTTAAAAATCCAATAACATCACAGTTTGTTTTATTTTGAAGTGGCTTTCTGGCACTCTGGATAGTAAAAGCAGAAAGCTTTTATGGCTTTAATTTTAAACAAGTAAATAAAGATGAATCAACAGTGGAACCACTGTAATATAAAAACAACAAAACAAAACAAAAAAACCCAGCAGATGGCCTAGGGCTAGCCTTTGCTCCATTAGCTCCATTAGCTCATCTAGAAAGCCTCAGGAAGCTTAAGTCACCCATGTCCCCTCCGAGAGGGACCAAGAGTGGTTAGACAATTAATCCACCACAACAGCCACACACATGAGCCAAGGAGGCCATTGATAGCAGCTGGAGGTGGCCTTCAGAGCTCTGCAACAGGTGCACCTCTACTGCCTGGTGAAGACTGAACTATAGAAACTCACTTGGGATATTTGCTGTAAAATACAAGGAAAAAGTCTTCTGATAGGGCAGGAGCAGTCAATTCAGAGGCAAAATATTAGAGGCACCATCATGGTGGAGCCCCAGAGCTGGGCTCCACAGTTGTCCAATTCAGAGGAGTCGCCCAATAGGAATTGTGACTGTGTGCTATTGGAGTAACGGGGCTACAAATACAACCTAGAGCAATCCACTGTGGCCTGGGACAACTTTCCAACTCCTTTATTTCCCTATGTAGCCTTCCAATTGACCCTCATTCCCAGAAATAATCTGAGGATGTAGGTACTTTACATTTAAATGCCATGAAAGGAAGTAAACAAAAGGATTCTGGCCATTCCTTTATTCCCTAATGGAGGATTGGTGGTAACTTGGTAGCCATTTACTGGTAGGGCAGCTCAGTTCCTATTCCTCCTCTGCTTTGCCAGTCTCCACTAGAAGCAGAAAACACCAAATACTTCTTTCCCAGCATTTCTTGCAGCTAAGTATGGCCAAGTGACAAGTCCTGCCCAAGGAGACAAAAGTGAAACTCTTAGGGGGATATTGAAGGGAGTGTTTGAAAATGGTTTCTCTTCTATAGTCACCCTTCCTTATCTGTAACTTCAGTATCCTTGGTTTCATTACCTCAGATTCAACCAATTTGGGATAAAAATTATTTGGAATAAATTCCAGAAATCTCCAGAAAGAAAAACTTTCATTTGTCATGTGCTGAGCCCTTGGCTGAATTCAGACAAATACAGTGATATGGTAGGCACACTCTGCTGTGGCCCCTTGGCATTTCACAGGTCCTCAGTCTCTCCAACACTCTTTGGGCTCTGTTTGCCTTGAATCTCATTTGTGTACCAGGCAGTTGGCTCTGATAATTGTGTCTGTATTGAGAATGTGCACACTTTTTTTTCTTCTCATTGTTCCCTAAACAATACAGTATGATAACTATGTACACAGCATTTTCATTGTATTAGGCATTATAAGCAATCTAGAGATGATTTAAGGTATATGGGAGGATGTGTGTAGGTTATATGGAAATACTAATACATTTTATATAAAAAACCTGTGAGTTTTTTTGTCCTAGAGGGTCCTAGAACCAATGCCTTTGGGATACCAAGGACTGCATATAAAAGGGCCAGGTATAAGAACAATGTGCCCTGATTCTGCCCCTTCCCCAAACTCCTGCCTTGAACACAAAATATGGTAGCTGGAATAGTTGCCACCATCTTACTATTGTAAAATAACAAGCTTTTAGAAAAAAGTCCCAGGAACTAAGAAGTATAGGACTGAAAAATAGCAAAAGAGTCAAGATTCTTATTGGGCATCTAAGCTAACACCAAAAACTTCCAACCTCCAGAATTCTTGTTCCATGAGAGAAATACCTACCTGGGTATTGTAAACTTGCACTATACATGTAAAATTGATAAAATATATTTCATAAATTTATAATTTCCTAAGTCAACTTTTCAGCAAATCACATCATCATCCCATGGTAGAATTCAGTCACTCCAACGATTTCCTATACAATCTCAAGTTTTCAAAAATCACTTTAGGTTTTGTTAAAGAGAGGCTTACAGGGGATATAGCCTTGTCACATGCCAATGCTCAAGCTCTCAGATATGCCTGAAAAGGGCTGATTTCTATTTGAATGAACCTCCTCTTACATGGACAGTATTCATGTGGCCTGGTGACATAGTTCCATGCAGTAAGAAAGTGGAGATCTAAATCATTCATGCAATGAAGCCTGCTGTGTCGTTACTCCCTCTCTTATGAATCAGTGCCCTAAGCAACTTAGCAAGAATTGTCACTAAATAAAATATTTTTTAAAAGGCTGGTCAATCCCTGGTATCCCCCTCCCCCAAAGAAAAGGTCTTATTATGCAAGGATAAAAAATAAATAAAGTTAGGTAAAGAAGAGAGAAGCAGAGGAGGAAAGAGGCTCTGTAACTTAAAATCTACAAACTCACAAATGCCCTCACCTTCATCTCAGGCCTGTTTTCCTCTAGGCCTAAATCCTTAAAAGATCCAAGAAATCTAGAGTACTAAACGTCCA